GTGTTTTAATATTGCCAGGAGAATGCCTGAGGGTTTCAGGAATGCAGATAAGGAGCCGCACGGCCTTGCTAAGAAACCTGGCCACCAGCCTCAGCACTGGGTTACAGCCCGAGCGAACTCCCGGGAGAGGCAGGGGGGAGCCGGGGCTGCCCCGCTGACCGCTGCACCCCCCAGGCTGGGGCTGGCGGGTGGGTGAGCATGGATGGCCGTGGCGGCAGGCACTGAGTGGGGCTCTGGCCATGGTCTCTGGACAAGGTGTTGGTAACAACAGGATAAGTGGCTTGGGTGCTGGCTTGACAGCTCTGCAACCCCGTGTGCCCCGGGGGCAGGTCCCTGAGAGCAGGGGCCATGGTCCAGGCTGGTTCTCAGGCTGGGGACTGCAGCAGAGAGACCGAGACCCCCTGCGAGGCAGTGCCAAGCTTGGGGAGTTGCACAAGTTGTGGTTGCTGGTCAGTGTAGCCCTGGGGTTGGGCTGGAGCCTGCATCCCCTGGGGAACCGCCTTAGGGACACTGAGGAAGCGGTGAGCTCCGCTGGTCCGTGCATCGGGGAAGCGGGTGACATCGTATTGCTTGAGTTGGAGGCAAGAGAGTGCTTCTGGCTGTGTTTCCTCTTGACAGTGCTCCCACTGCCTTCCCTAACCCAGCCAGTGTCCCCTGGCACCCCTGGGAGAGGGAGGACTCTGTGTCCCACCTGCCAGCCCCACACTTCCCGCTGTCCTGCTGTGTTGCTGGCAGGGTACCTGGAAGCTCCCTGGTCTTCTTGGGGTGCCCAAATGAGAGCTCTTACCCCAGCAGGGTCCCTGGCCACTGCATGTCCATGAGCAGATGGGTACCATGGTGCCCTGGGCAGCTCTGCGGGGAATTGTCCCCATTGCTGTGGAGGTGGCGTGACTTCTGGTAGCTCGCTGCTATCCCACTGCCCTCTGAGGTTGTCCTGTGGCCCCTGGCTGTGGGAGATGTCCCCAGATGTGGGAGCTCTGGCTCTGGCACCGTGCACTGTTTTGCTATGGGTTGGGAAAGGCCATTGACCCAACTCCTTGTCCCTTCCCCCAGTGTGCTGGCTTTTACTGCTGTTGACTCACTTCAAACCTGTTTTCTTTCCCCAAGTCCAAGGGTCTGGGTGTCCCAGGCAGCCGGAAGATGCCGCCTGCTTGGGGGGGTGGGTAGTGCTGCTCTCTGCCCGCCTTTCCTTTATCGTTTCATCTTCCTCAAGAATTCCAGTGTGTTTGCTCTCACTGGTCCCACTCGGAGGTGCTGAGATAAGGCTGGAGGCAGAGCCCGCCTCACCTCTCCCCAGCAGCCTGGCCCAGGAATGTCCCGGGCCCCCTGCCCCCATGGAGTCCCAACCCCAAGCCTCTCCCTACCCCAGCCATCATCCCTTGAAGCCACTGTTGGCCCAACTGGCATGGAGACCATCCTTGCAGTGGTGAGGAATTGCTCATGGAGACCTTGGGACAGGACTCTTGGCTTCTTTTGGGAAAAACCTCACCTGGGAGGGTGATGCTAGTGGGACCCCTCTTCTCCTGGGCAGCCTCTGGGCATGGAAGTAGCTATGGCTAAACACGCTCCATCCACAACCCCTGTGCTGAAGCTGTGGTCACACTTGAGTGTCCTGCGTACCTCTTCTGAGATGGCCCTGGGGCCCCTGCTGGCTGTGCCCCGTCTTGGAGCTGTGCCCTTCCTTCCAGACCTGCTGCCTTCCCAAAAAGCATTTGGCTTCCCCCACAGGACATGTTCCTGTCCCCAGTCTGGGGATGAGAAGGGAGATGCCAATGTTGGTCAGCGGGGGGAACACCTCTGCTCAGCCCAACCCAGCATCCCCAGGGTCTCCACCATGATGTGCATGGGACAGCATGGAGCCACCCAGCTCAGCGTGGTGGCACGGGGCCCTATCCTGCATGTGGTCTGGGGGTGCCCAGTCACCTGCGCCACCACAGGGACAAGCTCTGCCCCCAAAACAAACCATCACCACCCGCCTTCCCCCCAAACCCTGCTATATGCCTATAACCCATGTCGCATGGGTTTCAGCTTCCCAGCTGGGCACTAGAACAGCACCATGGCTGGTAAGCTGTGGCCAGGGCTCAGTGCCACATTGTTAAGCTTGGACTTCCCACTCCAGCCTGGCCCCTGCAGGGCCCGTGGGCCATGGTGGCATTTCCACGTCTTTGCTGTCACCTTGCAAGACCTTGTGTTCACCCCCAGGCAGGAGGGGGACCATGCCACACAGGCAGGCATGGTCACCCTGGTCCCCGAGGGTGCTGTAGTCCCTCTGGGCTGTGCATGGGGAGGAGGTGGGCTCTCCCTGCAGCCCCTGGTAAGCACAGAGCCTGCGGACAGCCCATGCCCATGGGTTTCTTGGTCCCTGCCTACCTGTCTGTGCGGGCAGCAGAGTCCCTGGGCAGGCAGTTCCCATCCCTACCTGCTCCCTGCCTATCTGTGCCTGCTCCCTGCTGACCATGCCTGCTCCTTGCCCATCCCTGGCCACCTCTGGCTGTTGTGGTCTTCTCCCTGCCTCCTGTGCCTGCTCCCTGCCCATCTCCACCTGCCTGCCCTTGCCTATCACTGCCTGCTCCCTGCTTATCATTGCTCATCCCTGCCTGCTCGCTCCCCGTAGTTGCCTGTTCCCTGCCCATCCATGCCTGCTCCTTGCCCGCTGCTGCCCTGCCCGCCGGTGCCTGCTCTCCCCCGTTAGTACCTGCTCGCCGACCCTCCCTGCCTGTCCCTGTCCATTGGTACCTGCTCCCTGCCCGTCGCTGCCTGCTCCCTGCCCGTCGGTACCGCTCCCTGCCTGTCCCTGCCCGCTCCCTGCCCGTGCTCTGACACCTGCTGGCCACCAAAGGCACAGGCAGAGCCGCCCGTCTCGGCAGCCCGGGGCCAGGGTGCTCCGGGGCCCTGCCTGCCGCTGTGTGCCCAGCCGGGCGGGCAGGCAGCTGGGTGCTGCAGGGCAGGGAGAGGTGGGACCCTTGGGCTGGGGCTGCGCTGGCAGAGGCACATGCAGGGGACAAGGCAGCCCAGGGGGGTCTCGCTAGGAAAGGGTGCCCCTGCCCCAGGGGCTGGTGGCAGGCGGTGTCTCCAGCATGGGGACAGGGGTTGGAGGGTCTTGGTGTTTGTGTGCGGGCAGGGTGCCCCTGGAGGACAGAAGGGCTGGCAGTGAGGGCAGGAGGGGTGCCCAGAGCGGGGTGCTGGCATGGGAGCGGCAAGGGGATGCCTGGAGTGATGGCTGGGGGATGCAGGGGGGCATCGGGGGCTCCCTGCCTGCCTCCAGCCCCGAACCCCCTTGCTGCCCTTCTCTGTGGGGTCCCCATGGGGCCAGGGACCTTGGGAGCTGCTTGTGCCATGTGCCAAATGGCACCATGGTGGTGTTGTACGGGGACAAAAGTCGCTCCCCTCCCTCCTCCTCCTCCGCTCACCTGGCAACTGTTTGTCCAACACCTTCCTGGCTTATCTCCCCACACCCAGGGAGCCGTGGGACGAGGGCAGAGGTGCTCCCTCGCCCCATGCGGGGCAAAGGCCTGCCTGGCACTGACTTTCGCGGGACCTGGACCCTGCCAAGTGCAAGCGGGTTTCCTCGAGAGCAGCAGCGCCCACCTCCCCTGGACGGGAGCAGGTGCTTGGGGGTGGGGTGAGGGCCCACGTTTTTGGGGGACAGCTCCCTGCGGAAGCAGTGCTGGGGCATTTCGGAGTACAGCAGTGTAGCCAGCATCATGTTTTATAGCCCTGGCTCATGCCTGCCATGACTGTGTCTCACAACCCACGACATCCCATGGTGGGGAGTTCCAGTGCTGAGCTGGGCATCACGCAAAAACGTCCCCCGTGGTGGCCGGTTTTTAGGCTGCTGCCCAGTCGTTTCATTTAATGCTTCCCAGGACTGGCCTCATGCGTGACCATGAATGCTCTGTCCTTCACCCTGATTTTATAGTGCTCTCTGGGACCCCCCAGCATCTCTTTTCCAGGCTGCACAGTCCTAGTCCATTCACCTGGTTTTCTGTATGAGCTCCCATATTACTTTTCCTACACCTTTTGTAGCTCTTCTCCATTCCTTTTGCAGCAGGGGAAGGCACCAGAAGTGCAGGCTGTACTTTTGCAAGCCAAGGGCAACCCTGAGATGCAGCTGTGGTTGGGGGAAGCGGCCAGTGCAGGGCAAAGCCAGGAGGGCTGCAGCGCAGGCGTTTGGGGCTGGCATCCCTCTACTTGCTGGGGAGGACCACGGCAGGGGGGGACGAGGCAGGGCAGTTGCCTTGCTTGTGTGACTTCTGTGGCCACCAGGTCTGGGGCTTTTGGGATCTGCTGCTGTTCCTCAGCCCTGGCTTTTCAGCCCTTGTGGCAGGGAGAGGTGGAGGGGGCTTCACCCCACGTCCTTTGTGCTCCAGCACAAGAGAGCTCTTGGGCAGGTTTGGCATTTCCCACGTGAGCAGAGGCTGGACGAAGCTGTGAGGCTGCCCAGTGCTGTGTTCTTGTGCCTCAGGACTTGAGGAGTGATACCAAGCAGAGCTGTGCTGAGGACTAGGCAGGTGGTTTCATTTGTGCCTGGGGACAGTGCTGGGGACCCTGGGGGATCCTCCCAGCCAGGAGGCAGCAGGGTCTCAGCTCCTGCATCCTCCGCCGGTCAGCTGGGGGCCCCTGGGGCAGTGCTAGCACAGGGCAGATGCCCTGCGAGCAGTGTTTCACGCCAGCCCAGGCTGTGCTGCCCAGCAGACTCTCCAACGAGCCAGGAATTGGGGGAGAGATGGAGGAGGAGATGGGTACCCTGTTGGGGTGCACACCCTTGGGAAATGCTGTGTCAAATGGTGGGGTTTCGGGCACTGCGGGGAGTCTGGAGGGCATGGGCTGGACAAGGCACCTCATGTTCTCAGATCTTCCTCTACTGGACCAGCCCCCAAAGGGCCTGAGGACCCAGAGAGGCTTCGTGGAAGCATGGGGGGATACAACCTGCCAACCAGGCAGCTAATCCACCCCATCCAAAAAGCTTTTACTGACTCTGCCCCTCTGCCCTGCAGCGCTGCAAGGACCGCTTGAACTCCCTGGCCATCTCCGTCATGAATCAGTGGCCGGGGGTGAAGCTGCGGGTCACGGAGGGCTGGGACGAGGACGGGCACCACTCTGAGGAGTCGCTACATTACGAGGGCCGAGCTGTGGACATCACAACCTCAGACCGGGACCGCAACAAGTACGGCATGCTGGCTCGCCTGGCCGTGGAGGCTGGCTTCGACTGGGTCTACTACGAGTCCAAGGCGCACATCCACTGCTCCGTCAAAGCAGGTAAGGAGGGCAGTGAGCGGGGCCGGGGGCCAGCCCCCCTCTTGCAGCGTGCCCAGGGGGCCTGGCTGGGTGGGGTGCTCCCGGGGGGGGTGCTGGCTCTCGCAGCCGGATTTCCCTAGCTGGGGCAGAGAGTCGGGTAGGGAGTGAGTCACACACCTGTGGCCAGCAGTGCCATGGGGCAAATTCCCCATCTAGCTCCCACGGACCTGCATCCTGACCCACCCTCTCTAACCCCCTCTTTTTCCCACCCCACGTCCCCTTCTTCCCCAGCCTGTCCCCCCCAGTCTGCCCATCGCTTCTGTCTCCCCTGCCTCTGCCCTTGCTCTCCCGTAGTGCCCCGCTGCCCGCGCTCAGCCCCATCCAGCCCTGCCCTCCTCCACCGCTGTCGCAGAAGCATCCGTCGAGCCCTGGCTGGCCAAGGCTGGGGACAGGGACAGTCAGGCAGGGACTGGCCAGGGTGCCCTGGGATCAGCTGGCTGCTGTGCAGCATCTGCTGCGGAGGGGAGCAGAGCTGGGGGTGCTGGGGGCAGAGGCAGCTGGACTGGAGTGCGGGGTGCTATCGTCGCTGGCGGTGCTCGCTTCCCCCCGTGCGGTGCAGTGAGGGGGGGGCGGCTGCTCTCCCGTGGCCGGGAGGGGATGGCGTGGGGTGCGAGGCCCCCTCAGACCGGGGAGGAGCTGCCCCGCCCGGGACGCCGCCGCCCCGGGGCCCCC